CATTGGGTATCTTCTTTGGGTTCGTTGCCGTGGCCAAGGTGGTAGTTGACCATGGCCCACACAGAGCAGAGTCTGCCGTGGACTGGGCTCAACTAGTGGCCCTGTGGCCTTTGAGACTGACAGCTGCACATTCCCACACACATGCATGCGTGCACACACAACACATGCTCACACGCCTGGCGCAAACCTGACCGGGAGGAGCGGCTCTGCTGGGACAGAAGGAGGTGAACCCCCTGCCAGGTGGTGCTGGCCCTAGCTCGCCAGCAGATGGACATGCAGGGCCTGCCCGGCAGGAGGCTCCCGGCCCAAGCCTCGCAGCCGGCTGTGTCTCCTCTCTGTCTCTGGAAGCGTCCCAGCTTCCTGTGACAGGGGCAGACCCCCTGGGACCCTGTCACCGAGGCAGAAACTCCCAGGCCAGGGCCAGGCTGCTTCCTTGAGAGGCACTGCCAGGGCTGCCTTGCACCCTGGTACCCAGCCCCGCTGCCTTCAGGACAGGATCTGGTGCATTCCTCAACACCCAGGGGGGCTATGTGCCCCCTGCGGGCGAGGGGCTGCTCCTTCAACCTTCCTGGGGCCTCTGCGGGTGTCCAGGGCACACGGCTCTGTGCACCTGTCCACCTCCTGTCATGGAGCATCAGATGCCCCAAGAGCCTTGATGCCAAGGTCACCCGAGGGCCCAGCGTGGACCCTGTTCCCCACGTGATACCACCCAGCCCTGCCTGGCCTGGCACCGCCACAGAAGGTCCTCCCTTGAGCCCCAGAAGGAACCAGCCCTGCCCACACCAGGATGCAGCACCCCCACCCCAGTTTGTGCCCTGGGCCCGTCCAGGGAGGGGTCATCTGAGGGAAAGGAGGCCCCCAGGGTCCTAGAGGGGAGCAACATGACATCTGGAGACGGAAGGTGCACGCAGGGGCAAGACCACCCTCTGATGGGGGATTTCTGCAGACCCAAGGGTGGGTCGGCCTGGGAGACACTGGGCGTGCCATAACTTGGGGGCGGTGAAGGGTCCAAGCTGGACTGGAATCTGTCCCGCCTGTCTCCAGGGGCAGTACCTCAACTTGCTGAGCCTCAGGCCCCTCTCATGTGAAGTGAGGACCTTTCCCTGTCCTCTAAGAGTGTGGGGATTCCTTGGGGCGGTGCTGTCAGTCTTTGGGAAACTCCCTGGGGGTAGGTGGCAGTTTCTGCTAAGCTTGCTGGGGGATTTTTACCTGGATATTGCTCAGACAAAAGGGCGAGGTTGTCACTGCTGATCCCAGGAGGACCTGGGAGACACCACTGTGCTCAAGTGGCGAGGAAGGGGCTGGCGTGAGGTCTCATATGGCCCAGAAGCTCACGGCATCCACTGGAGAAGACGGCCCAAGGACTGAAACGGAGCAGGGGCTGCAGTCACTCGGAGTGAGTCCACAGGAAAGATGGAGACCTTGGCCCTGGGAATCTGTGGTTCATGGTCACCATGGCCCTGATGTGGGTTGGAGGCCACCGGCACGGTGCTGCTCACTTGCAAACCTGAAACAGGCAGCACCAGCCGGCACACCAGGAAGCTGTGACCCCTCTCCTATCCAGATCTGAGCCAGCTCTTGCATCCAGAGCCCTTGGGCGAGGGGGAGGCTTGGTCTCCTCCGAGAAGGACCCTCCAGAGCCCCCCACGCATATGTGAGGAAAAACCCCGAGTCTCTTTGCTGCCAGTTCCTCAGGGTGACTCTGTCACAACCAGAAGGACTTTTTGGATTCAAGGTCTGAGTTAATGCTGCCAACAAAGGACCCAAAATGTCACTGCAGCCTGACCAGCGTGGTGGCTCACAGGTGCCGAGTGACAGTCTCAGCCCAGGTCCATCTTGGGGTCCATCCAATGGGTCTGTAGGCCCATCCTGTGGCCCCGTCCTGGTCCCCCAGGTTGCAGTGAGAGAGTTGACTTGGCAGTGCTGGGGTCCTGCTTCTTTGACCCATGAGGAAGGACCATGAAGGTGGGAAGGCCTCAGGCTTGGAGAAGCTGAGATGAGGCTGTACTGAATTGGGTGAACCCCAAGTCCAGCGACAGGTACCCTTCCAGTAAGAGACACGCTCAGAGGAGAAGGCCAGAGGACAGAGGCAGAGGCCAGAGCAATGCCTTGAGCAGCCCAGGATTGCCCAGGGTTGCTAGCAACACTGGACACAAAAGAGAGGCCACAGAAGGTCCTCCCTTGAGCCCCAGAAGGAACCAGCCCTGCCCACACCTGGAGGTTGGACTTCTGGCCTCCAGAACTGGGAGCAGATAGAGTTCTGTCATTTTAAGCTACCTGGTGTGGGGGACATTGTTACAGCACCCCCAGGATGTGGCTACCTCCCACCCCCAGCCCTCCGCAGGTAATTCCCAGGACCCAGGGCCTTGCCTCTTGCTCTGCTTGAGAGGGAACCTGGGTCAGGACACCCAGGTGTGAGGCGCTCGGTGTGTGTCGCCTGCCTTGCTCGAGGGGGCTGGGTAGGCACCTGGACACATGGACACTCGTCCCCTGGCTGCAGGAGAGAAACGCAGGTGCTGTCCCCGCCACCGGCCCTTCTGGCCCTTCCTCCAGCTTTCCACTCCTGGGAGCCTAGGCTCACCACACTCAGCCCCGCCTTCCACAGAGACCAGGATGCCAGCAGACTCCAAAGACTTGCCCCCGCTGGGACGTGGCACATTCGGAACTCGGCTGCCTCCCCACCCCCGGCCTCTGCCCCAGGTGCCCCCTCTCACAGGAGATGCTGATGTGCCCTTCCCTGCAGCTGCAAACTTTGATCCGCTCAGCCCTCACCTGCTCCTGTCACCGCAACAGGAATAGAAGCCAGCATTTAAAGACTCGGCCCTCCCGTCCTTTCCTGGCCTGTAAATCCGTGGGCAGGAGCAGCAGCCTGCAGGCGGGGAGAATGATTGCTGGTTGCAGAATCAGGCAAGGCTGCTGCCCGGGTGGGCCTGGCTGCGTGGGTGCCTGCGGCAGGCGCAAAGGCTGGCTTTAAATAGCAAATCGTGGGTACGAGCAGGAGGAAGAGTGCCAGGCGGAGGTGGGCCGGGGGCAGGGTCCTTGGCCTCCAGGTGCTGGGGAGGCCAGCGGCTCCATGAACCTCGAACCCACCCGCCTTCCCCCAGGGGCCCAGGAGGAAGTAGACCCTCCCTCAGGGAGGCCAGTCCCTGGGGCAGGGTCCGGGTGCCAGGTGTGGCAGGTGGCAGTGTCAGGCCCAGCTGGTTGCTTTGCTGTGTGCCATCTGGAACCCGGGCCCCCACCCCGGGGCCACCCTCTGGGTTCCAAGGAAGAGGAGCCAGGAGCCCTGCCGGGAGGCACAGGGAGCAGAGGGTGCCGAGGCAGGAGGGGAGAACCGTCATCGTGCCTGGACAGGAAGCTGGTCGGGCATGGCCCACCCGCCCCTGGTATCCGGAGGCAGCCTGGAGCCCCAGCCAACCCATATCCGGCTCGACTGCCCTCGGCCACCTGCTCGCTACCTGCTCCAAGGCGCACTCTGTCCCATTTGCAGCTCCCGTTCACACCGCGGCCTGGTCTGTCCCAGCCCGTCCCTGGCCTGTCCATCCCCCAGGATGACCTTGCCAAGGCTCATGGCCCCGTCCTTTAGAACAGGGGCCCACAGAGGCAGCCTGGGGTCGAGGGGAGCTTGTCAGGAGGTGAGGGGGCTTGAGCCAGAGGCAGAGGAAGAGCAGTGCGTGCAAGCTGTGGCTTGGGCAGGAGGCCAGTGCCCACACCCCCCGGACACAGCCTGGTCCTGGGAAGCGGTGAGTCCCTGGGTCCCTGCACACAATGCCTGGGCCCACTGGGGGTTGCATTGCCCACTAGCCAGGCCTGCCTGGGGCCGCCACAGGCCACACTGAGGGCAGTGGTTCCCAGATACCGTCAAGGTTCCCAGGGGTGGGGGGGTGGTGATTCCGCAGGACACTGGGTATGGCCCACAGTGCTACCTTGCAGGTGCCGTTCAGTGGACAGCAGAGCCCTGGACAGCTGTTCCCATTACACCCTTTCATCTCCTCTGTGTGTGATGACCCGGTGCTGTGGAAAATCTGAGCCCTCATTCACAGCTGCCCATCAGATGCTCCGAAGGCCATGATCCCAGGGTTGCAAGGCTGTCACCCAAGCCCATGGTGGCCACAGGTGGGAAAAGGGCTGTGAGGCTTCCATGGCCTCTGAGTTCCCATCACCATGTCCAAGAAGACACCAGCATGGCATCCTGGCCCTGGGCCCCTGCCAAGGGACTACAGGTCCAAAGGACCAAAGGGGATGGCAACTCCTTGAGCCCTTCTGGTCCCTCACCTCTACCCTTTCTGAGATCCCTGGACGTGGCCACAATGCTCACCTTTGGACAAAGCCCTGAGCCCCTGAATCTCTGTCTTCAAGTCTCTGTCCCCAAGTCTCTGGCCCTGAGTCTCTGGCCCTGAGTTGGGGGTCGAGCCCTGGGATTTCAGGCATCTCAAAAGCACATGGTGTTGGAATCAACTGTCCTGAGCTCACCACCTCTCCCCCAGAACTGTGTCCCTTTTCAGAAGATGTCCCTGTCGCAGCCAGTGCCACAGATGAGACCAAGTACCTGGAACCAGCACCGCCAACCCTGGCTCCTCTCCTTCAGGGAGCTCTCTCTCCCCGCCTGCCCCTAGGCGAGGAGCTTGCCCGGGACCCGCTCGCTGCTTCCCCTGTGGAAGGTGTGTGTTCAGCACTGAGCGCTTGTGGGCTTCTGCAGACCACCCCTATTCGCACAGCCCCCACCCAGCCTACAGGGACAGGAGGCTGCAGTGACAGAGAACAGAGCTGGCCACAGACCAAGGCTTTATTTCATGCTGGGACCCAGGAGACCTCACAAATGCCTTCTCCACCACTTCACAGGGCAAACATCCACTCCTGCCTCCTCCCACTCCCTGGCCCCGATCCCACAGAGCAAAGACCTAGAAACCAGAATCACATTCTGAGCCCCAAAATTTATAACTCCAAAGGGCCGGACCCGACCCGGCCCAGCCCAGGGTCAGGCCGCCCTGTCCTGCTGTCGGTCTCTGGGGCACAGCTGGGTCAGAGCTCAGAGAGGTTGAGGCACCCTCCTGTTTCTGCAGCCAATTGTCACTTGCTTTGAAGCACGCAGAGAGGGCAGGCCCACTCGAGGACCCTTTCTCCCAGGAGTCTCTGGGCAGCCACCACCCAACAGCAGGACAGGTGCAGGGCCGAGCGCCCCCTCACATGGCATATGCCGCCCAGTAGATGATATTGACGGCCGCAAACGCCGCGGGGAACACTGCTCGGGCATAGATGTCGATGGTGTCCGCGTCGATGGGCTTGAATCTGGCGCAGATGGCCCCCTGGCTCCCGGGGCGAGACCCCCCTTCCTTCTTTGTCTCCCCCGTCTCCACCTCCACCGACCTGTAGGAGCCCATGAGGTTCCCAGGGACACGGCACTGTCGGCGGGAGACGGCCAGTTCCTGGGTGACGCCGGCGGCAGAGAGGGAGAAGAGGACGATGGCATTCCTCACGTCCATCTGTGGGGGTGGGGGATGGTCAGTGTCACCTTGTGGCATCCAGGGCCCTGGGCCGCCCCGCCAGGGCCAGCAGCTCAATCACCCTCCGCACTCAGCAGGCGCCACTGTGACCCGCAGCGACCAGGGAGTGCAGCCCTGCCCCCCAGGGCCTGGGGCCCCAGATGAACCTCCCCAGGGTCGACAGCAGAGGGGCTCACAACTCCACCCCTCCCTGCGCCAGGCGGGGTCTGTCCTGGGTTCTGAGCCTTAGAGGCACCACCCACCCAGTCTCACCTCTGCCCTTGGCTTCGTGACCTTGACCTTGGCCTTGGCCTTCTGCTTCTTCCTGTAATCGGCGTTGAAGTGGGCGAAGGCATACTCCACCAGGGCGGCAAACACAAAGACGTAGCAGATCCAGAAGTAGACATCCAGTGCCTTGATTGCAGATGCCCGTGGCAGGGAAGACCGGGCGCTGACCATCAGCGTGGTCATGGTCAACACGGTGGTGATGCCTGCCGGGCACAAGGGCGCTGTCCTCAGTGCTCGCCACCTCCTCTCTCTCGCCCCAGTCCCCGAGCACCTGTGTCCCAGAGGAGGGTCTGCCAGCCCCACCCCCACTCCAGGGAGCAGGCTGGGCCCCTCCAACCAGGCCTGGCCTTGCTGGCCACTGTCCCGGACAGCCAGCACGGGCATCTGAAGGGCAAGAGCTGGGCTTCTGGCAGATGGGGTGGGGTACAGCTCCCCGGGGCCGCCACCCACCAGCACCCTCACATACCCAGGGACACCCGGGCGGGCACCGCGGCCTGGCTGATCCAGAAGGAGACCCAGGACATGGCGACCAGGAGGACAGAGGGCATGTAGGACTGGATGATGTAGACGCCACGGTTCCTCCGCAAGTGGAAGTGCAGGCTAAGGCGGGGGAACTGGCCGGCTGTGGGGACAGCGCATCGGGTGGGGACAGCACATCGGGCGGGAACAGCATATTGGCCGGGGACACCCACACCAGCCCGGGAACACCCACAGCAGCCCAAGGGCACCACATCAGGTGAGGACACCCCTGTCCAGCAGAGACACCCACGTCAGCCCCAGACACTCATGTCAGCCTAGGGACACCATGTCAGATGGGGACGCCATGTCAAGTGGGGACGCCTCCATCAGCTCAGGACACCCATGTCAGCCCAGGGACACCCACATCAGGCGAGGACACCCACCATCAGCCCAGCCTCTACCCAACCCACCCCGGGGGACTCCAGGGGAGAGAGGCCTTGGTGGGCGCCCAACACCCAGCCTTTCCTGCCAACCCGCCCAGCCTGGTACGTTGCAGCCCCGGCCCCAAGTTCAGCTACAAGAGAGACCTGCTGCAGGGTTGCCCAGGGAAGGAAGGAAAAGAGGCATGGACAACATGGCTGCTGGCCTCAAGTCTGCTGGGCCAGCCCTGGGGGCCCTCCCAGCCACTGGGGAGGGCTCACACCCTTCCTTCCTAACCCTCCTTCAGGAAGGAACCGGGGCTGGGCTCACGGGCTCCGACAACAGGCCAGCGGGAAAGGGAGGGGGCAGGGGGGTCTGAAGACCAGGTGGCCAGGGAAGGGCTAGGAGAGCCCTGCGCCCCCAGGTTCCTCCAAAGCCCGGAAAGTGAGGAAGGACCAAGTGCAACGGGAAGCCCCGGCTCACGTCCACACCGTGCGGGTCCTTCAGCACAGCCGGGGCCAGCTAGTGTGCTCCCACATCAGCGGTTTTCCAGCTGTGGCCTCGGAGCCCGGGGAGCCAGCTGGAGGCTTGGTTAAAGGCATGAAGAGCCACAAGGCGGCACACGGGGGCAGCACACAAGGGGCGGGCCGTGGTACCTGACTTGGAGTTCACCAGCTCGGTGGTGAAACGGTAGCTGGTGATCGTGAACTGAGCCAACTGCAGCTTGTCCAGCCCGTGGATCTGCTCCTGGCTCTCTGACCAGTAGTAGACAATGTCCTCAGAGGAGTATCCATCTGCAGGAGAGCCGTGGTGGGTGGCAGGCCTGGCCCGGCCCCAGCGGGAGCTTCCAGGGGCTGGCGCAGGGTGACGGAACACCAGGGACCCAGCCGGACTAGGAGGCCCTCAGCTATGGGACCGCGCCTGGCTCCCCCAGGCAAGCGGATGGGGGTTGCCATTGTCAGGCGACGCACGGGGCTGCCGGGCTGGCCTGGTGATGCTGGCCCATGCTATGTGTGGGCTCCACGGCCCAGCTTCCCTGGTGGGCACGGACCTAAGGGCCAAGCTGCTCCCGGCCTTCCGGCCCTTCTCTCACCCAGGCTTCTTGCTCATGTGCAAGCCTGTCCGGTGCCTCCCTGGTCCTGAGCAGGGGCAGCCTTGCTCAGGCCTTGGGCTGGCAGTCCCAGCTGAGTTCCACCCGGCTGGAGGAGCCTGCCCACCTGCCCGCCATCCACTCACAGCTTTCCAGGTCCAGCATGCACTCCTGCTCGTCCATGGGGTACTTGGCCAGGTCCATATCACAGGCCACTGTGGAGGTGATCCTGCCCAGAAAAGCATGCCATGAGCGCTGTGGGGGGAGGACAGTTTCCCACAGAGATGCCCCTGATGGCCGGGCTGCCTGGGCCCCGCTGCCTCTCAGGCTTTGGGCAAGTTGTCCAGCATCTGGGTAAAAACTGAAACGGTGTCCAACTCTACAGGTATCTGGGCATCCTCCCTTAGGCCATCAGGAATGAGCCCACTCACTCCCTTCATCCTTCAAATGCTGGACCAAAGAACTGGGTCCAGGCCCTCGGGGCGGGGGCAGCCAGGCCCTCCCAGGAACAGCCAATGGCTGCAGGGAACAGGCTCAGGGTTGTTAAGAGCGTTATTTTCTAGGAGAAGCCAGATATTCAGATTTTTACATAAAGTCTCCCGATTTTTCAAATGTTGTCAACTAAATTCATTTTTTAAAGAAGTGTGTCCCAGCCAGGCTCAGTGGCTCAGCCTGTAATCCCACGCTTTGGGAGGCTGAGATGAATGGATTGCCTGAGCCTGTGGGTTCGAGACCTGCCTGGGCAGGCGAGACCTCATCTCTACAATAAATCAAAAATTAGCCAGGCGTGGTAGTGCATGCCTGTAAATCCAGCTACTTGGGAGGATGAGGCGGAAGGATCGCCGGAGCCCAGCAGGTCGAGGCTGCGGTGGCTGGGAGCGGCCACTGCACTCCAGTCTGGGCAACAGAGTGAGACTCCAACTCAAAAAAATAAAATAAAACAAAAACAAAAATAAAGAAGTTTGTCTGAAAGCAGGCGTTCAAACAAGTACCCATGCACCCGTGTTCACAGCAGCATCATTCACATCTGCCAAAAAGTGGAAGGAACTCAAGCGTCCATCAACAGAGGAACAGATGAACAGGTGTAGACGTCCACGAGACGGTGTATGGTCCAGTCAGAGTGGAATGAGGCAGCCAGGTGCGGTGGCTCACGCCTGTAATCCCAGCACTTTGGGAGGCCGAGGCAGGAGGGTCACTTGAGACCAGGAGTTTGACACCAGCCTGGGCAGCATAGTGAGACCCCATCCCCAGTAAAAGTAAAGAAATTAGCATGGTGTATGCCTGTAGATCTAGCTACAAGGGAGGATGAGACAGGAGGATCACTTGAGTCCAGGAGGTCAAGGCTGCAGTGAGCTATGATTGCACCATGGCACTCCAGCCTGGGGACAGAGCAAGGCCCTGTCTCTAAAACAAATCAAGATATAAGTGAATATGGAATCGATTTTTTTCAAAAAGAGGAAGGAAGCACTGCATGCGCTATGGCGTGGATGACCCTTGAAAGCACGATGCTCAGTGGAAGACGCCATTTATGTGGCATGTCCAAGACGGGCAGATCCAGAGACAGAAAGCAGACTGGTGGCTGCCAGGGACTTCAGGAGAGAGGGGGTAGCGGGTCTCTTTTTGGGGTGACGAAACATGGGACTCGATGGAGGTGGCAGTAGCACAGCATGGTGGACTTCCCAAATACCCCCAAATCATTCACCCTACCATGGATAATTTTATGTTATGTGAATTTCACCCCATTTAAGAAACAAAAAGGCATTATGTTGGCCAAAAAGCCACATCTGCTAGCTTCCTGTCGGCAACCTCGGAGCTGATGTTTCACGAGCAGCTGCTGGCTGCAGAGGATATAAATAACACCAGTGTTTCTGCCTGTCCCTTCCCAGTTCCTGGCAGAGGACTCCCGAGTTTTCTCTGGTCTTGAGGGGTCTGGATGCTCTCCCCCAGGACATAGGGTGGGCAGCCATAGGGACCCTCCGGCTCACTGGATACTGTATGGGACCCCCCGGCTCATCAGATGCCGTAGGGATCCAGCTAACTGGATGCCATATGAGACTCCCTGGCTCACCAGATGCTGTACAGGACCACCCCCACTCCCTCCCCACTCACTGGATGCCATACAGGATCCCCCCAGGCTCAGCAGATGCCATAAGGATCCCCAGCTCACCGGATGCTGTACAGGACCACCCCATCGGGCTGCAGTCGGATAAGCTTGTTCTCCACGGTCACGTCATGAAACCAGGCAGACTTGGCGTTCACAATGAAGGTGTCAGGCAGCCAGAGCCTGTCCACGAAGCGGCTGTCCAGGCCCAGGGTCTCGTTGGTGTGGTTGTAGGAGAGCCTGCTGTCCCTCCAGCTCTGGTGCAGAAACACTGTCATGGTGTACTCCTGCAGGCGGGCGGGACATGGGTCAGCCTTGGCTCTGCTCCCAGGCGCACCCAGGGTGAGGCCGGTGGGCACCTACCATGTTGGCCTCCGAGATATGGTCGATGCTGGCCACCTCCAGGGCTAGGGCTACGTTCACGGGGGGGCCTGTAGGAAGGAACGGGCTGAGGACGGGGGCTGAGGTCGGCCCCCACACAGGCCTGGCCTGCTGGGCTGGGCTCTCCACCAAAAACCCAAGGAGGCAGGACAGCTGGGGCACAGCCATGCTACGCTGTCACACAGTCTGCAGTCTCCATGGGGGGCCTGGTACCTGGGGTCTGACAGAGCCCCAGGAAGAGCCAGGCCTCTTGGCCAGCCTGAAGCCCAGTGGGCACACACTCATAACTGACCTGGAACTGAGCGGTTCCCTGCTGCCAGTGCCCCAGGGGTCCTCACCTCCAATGCCAGGCCGGAAGTTGCGGGCGTAGCCAGCCATCAGGCCGTCCAGGTTAGGGAGCCAGGATATCTCCAGGTTGGAGCCCACGTAGTCACCAATGTCATTCATGGCTCTGGGAGCACAAGGCCACTGGTCACAGACAGGCAGAGCACAGGGATGGAGCCCAGGTGGGCCAGGCAGGTAGGACCATGGCGGGAGCGCTCGCAGATGGGCGTCTGGCCAGGCTGGGTAACTCAAGCCAGACAAGGACACCTGGGAGGCTCATCCTCTTCTGCCTGCCTCAGTACGCCCCCCACCCCCTGGCCTACTCCACCCCAGGGTTGGGTTGAGCCCCTGGCTCACTCAGCGGCCTCCCTGCTCTTTCCTTGACAGGCCTTCTCGAAGAGAAGCCTGCCAGCTACTCAGGGCGAAATGTGAGAAGGCTGGGGTGGACAGGATGTGGGGAGTGCCCAGGGCCCAGAGCCTCCTGCTCTTTGTCCCTTTCCAGGAAGGCCCAGACCGGGCCTCATAAAGTCCCGAAATGGCCACATGCTTTCTGGGCTCAGTCTGACCCCAGAGCGCCTGGATGATCAGGAGCCGATTTTTCCGGGTTAGTCCCCAGCAGGGTCACGGGGCACCCACGTGAGGGACACGCCTTGGCTCCGCACACCCAGTGCTGGCCCACATCTGTCCACCTTGGCCAGGCTGAACAGCATGCCCCCCAAAGTTCACAGCCACCAAAATCTCAGAACATGAGCTTATTTGGGACTAGTGTGTCCACAGACATGATTCGTTAAGACAAAGTCATACTGGACTAGGATGAGCCCTAACCCCAACAACTGATGGCTTTATGAGAGGGAGACAGAGTCACACGGGGAAGAAGCCACAGGACACCAATGGAGGGAGACAGGATGGTGTGTCTACAAGCCAAGGAGGGTCAAGGGTTTGAGAGAGTCCTGGAACAGGGTAGGGTCTCTCTCAGAGCCTCTGGGACGCCAGCCCAGCCCACACCTCCACCCCAACTCGGCCTCCAGGCTTAGAGAGAATACACTTCTGTTGTTTGAGCCCCTCCCCTCCCCCCTCCCACCACCCTTAGCCCTAGGAGACCAATACTCCAATCCCCCACAGGGCAAGGCCAGTCCCTGCAGGGAGGGCCTTAAGAAGGACCTTCCGCCATGCTCCAAATCACTTCTGCTCCAAAGGGTGCGGGAGACCAAGCCGCTCGGCACCCCTCCAAGCCTGGCTCTCCACACCCTTCTGACTGCTCCCCCGACAGCCCAGGGGCGCCCCAGGCTCACCCACCTCTGCTCCCTTGGAGACTCAGTCTGGACACGGGCACTCCCTCCCACTCCACCTGTGGGGCGCAGCTATGCCAAAGCCCGGCCACCAGCACCCCGACCAGCCCCTCCCCAGTGCCCCCATGGGCCACCGGCTGCCCACTTTCCTTGCCAGGCTCACCAGCTCAGCCCCCTTCAGTCCTGCTGCCCCCCAGGGCCGGGCAATGCTTCCTTGGAGCCCACCTTCCTCCCTCTGCCCCTCTACCTCCGCTCCCTCCCCCGCCTCTGCCTCCTCCCAGGCTCCACCCCTCTCAGGCTGCAACCACCTCAGGGTTCCTTGCTCCCTGGCTCCTCCCACCCAGATGCCTACCTGGCCCTCTCTGACCCCTCGCCCAGTCCCTGAAAGTTGGTCCCCCACACCCCCATCACCTCTCCAAGTCCTGCCTTGAGACACAGCTCCAGGCCCTCCAGGACACTGTCCCTAACCATCCACTGAGTCACCCTCCCACCCACCCATCCATCCACCCACCCACTCATCTACCCACCAACCCATCCACCCACCCACCCACCCATCCATCCACCCACCTATTCATCTATCCATCATCCATCCAGTCACCCACCCACTCATCCATCCACCCACTCATTCAGCTATCAACCATCTACCCACCCACCCATCCCCCTCTTCCATCCGTCCGTCCATCCATCCATCCAGTGTCTTGAGGGCCACCCCTGGTGTCCATCCCATTCTAGGGTCGTGACTGAGTTGCAGACGGACTGTTACAGCCCAGGTTCCCTTAGAAGTACAAGCCGTGTGATGGGGAGGGGACAAAGCAAGTGGTTTTTCATGGACTGTGTGCTGCAGATGGGGAGGTGAGGAACCCTGGTCGGCGGGATGGGGAGGAGGATGGACAGCCTCCCTGACAGAGTGACATCAGAGCCCAAAGGGAGAGAACACGCATATCCACGGGAGTGGGGAGAGGATGGCCACAAGCGCTCTGCACCCCAGGACAGGCCGAGACCTCAGGAGCGGGTGACAGATCCTCATTTTAAGCACTCGACTCTGGAGAGCAACAGTAGTGGCTTAGCGAGCCCAACACTGCCTCCACCTCCCCTGGGTCCTGCTGGACTCTGCTCCTTCTACTTCACCCTCAGACTGGCCCTGGAAGCCCCCAAGGGCTACTGGGCGTGGGGGCACCGGCGGGGGGATAAACCCCATCTTTCTCCTCCCGTCAGCCACTTTTCTTCTCACTTCACATACTGGCCTTTTGAGGAGGCTTTGAGCCAAAAGTTCCTCAGCTGGCGGAGTTTTGCAAACCCTGACCTGACCTGCATGCCCCTGTGACCGCCACAGGTAGGAGGGGCAGCCTTAGGCAGGCAGTCCAGACAGACAGCACCGCCGGTCCCCTAGGCAGGGCCTGGTGCAGGACCAGGGACAAGGCAGGCGCTTTGGCAACAAGATGGAACTAAATGAAGTCCCGGCCCCACGTAAAGCACAATTAAAAATGCAGATGGTGTCACCCTGAAGGTCAGACGTAAAGGGATTTGAGTGAGGTTTTATTTTTGGACGAGCCAGCTGCCATCTAGCCTGCCTGGAACGAGGCCATCAGGAGACACCATCCTTCCTGGGCCACAGCTCTTGCCCGTCTCAGGGTGGGGAAGCATGTGTGTCTCCTTCCCCTCTGCCCTAGTCTCAGGCCCACCCGGGGGCATGAAGGCAAGCCAGGAGCAGGGCCCCCCTGAAGCCCACCTAGAAGGGACAGCAGGACAGTGGATGCCACTTCCTGGCTCAGAAGGGAACAGGCTTCTATCCCGTGCCACCGTTCACCCCCCACAGGCTGTTTTCCAGCTGTGAACAGCTGGGGAGGTGCAGGGTGCAGCTCATGCCAGGGTGGGCACTGGAGCATCCCCTTTCCTTTCTCACTCAGGATGCACAGGAGAGATTGCACTTGTGGGTAGGGAGTGGGCTCTGCCCCAGGGGAGCTCAGCACAGGGCAGGAGTGTCTGACTCTGGCTGGGACATCACGTGGTGCTCAGGGAGAGCTCCTAGCTCACCTGGTGGCCCTGGGGTCCCAGTGGCGTGAAGCTGGGCCTTCCTCTAGGGCACGGACAGGGCAGCTCGGGGACTCACGCCAGGCTCCCAGTCTACACTCAGATTCAGGACTTCTAGCTCACGGGCAGAACAGGCACCACAAAAACACAGCAGCTTCCACCTTGGGCTGATTTGATGTGTCACCAGCCCGCCCACCCCATGAGAAACAAACCCACCCTGTCACGTGTCCGTGCCCCTGGGCACAGAAAGGGAAGGTGGGTGTAGTGAGCCAGGCAGTGCATCCCTTCCCCCTACTCCCTCTGCAGCGCACATGAACCCCCGGATCCTGACGGCGCCGTGTTTAGAGTGGTGCAGTCCCCCCAGCTCAGTTACCAAGGCGAGGAGACCGTGGCGAGTGCCCGCAAGGAGTGAGGCAGGAGCTGCAGCCCGGCTTCTCCTGGGAGACAGAGGCACCAGGAGGTGGGGGCACCCACAAGGGCAGTCGGCAGCTCAATCCCCTCGTGTGCATTGGGCTTCGCCTTCGGCCGACCACAGCCTCTCCCTTCCTAGCCCACAAGCCTTTCCCGCCAGGCGTCACTGGGATCTGGGCAGAGGTGTGATGGCCGGGCTGGCTCCCACAGCACAGCTCCAGGGACGGGGACCCGGAGGCCCAGGGCAGGGAGGGCAGCTGCTCTGGTTTCTGGAGTGGAGGGGACATGGGCATGGATGAGAGGAGAGGCCAGGGTGGAGAGGAGCCAAGAGCAGAGCCAGCAGCGTGTCCTTCTCTGGGACACCGTTCAGATCTGCCCGGCCTTAGCCAAGAGTGGTTTGAGCCCAGAACACGTGCATGGACACAATTACCTGAAAGAGCCAGCTTTGGATGGGGTGAGACGGGGGCGGTTTTCAACAGTGTGAGCTGGGAGCTCAGCAGAGCCGTGCACCTCTCCCCATGCAGGTGCCCCCGCAGCACACCTCTTCCAGGGATGGCCCAGAGGTGCCCTGCCCTGCCAGGCCTGGCTGTCTGGCTTTGCTGCCTGGGAAACAGGAGCATATCCCCTTACCCAACACCTCACAAGCCAGGTTCAGGCCAGGATCCTGATTTTCAGGGCTTAGAAAAGGGCATGGTGCAGATCCCAACTGGACCAGGGAGAATCTTCCAGCAGGCAGTGTAGACTCAGAACCCCAACTGTTGGATAAAGACAAAGCCCGCCTCGAGTCTGCAGCACAAGACTTGCCACCAAATGGGTGTTGGTACCAAACTTGGGCTAAAACTTGGGGGTTTTGGAGTCATCTGAACTTCAGACCAGACTTGTAGCAAAGTGGCCATGGCCTGGCCGGCAGCTGGCCACCTGCCTGCTATTCACACACCTTTGGCTGTGCCTGGGTAGCCCCTTCTATCGCCTTGCTGTGGGGACAGAAGAAAGAGTCGTCAAGCTGGTGAGAGAACACAGCTCTTCCGAGGACGGAGCGGCTCAGAGGCCCGGGTGCGGGGCTGGTCCCGTGGTCTCCACCCTGACTACCATGTCCATAGCTGGACCCAGGCCCTCTGGGCTCTGTCTCCGCCCCTCAACAGGGAGACTCTCTGACCCTGGCCTGGATGTACACACTGCATGCACGTCTGCAGCCAAAACACAGGCGGACGCCGACCCTTTCTGGTTCCTGTGAGTCTTTCATGCACACAAGATCTGAGTGCTGGGGGATGTGCTTTTGCTGTTTTTTTCCACAGCCCTTACACTGAGACAATTTTCCAAAAGGCCTCTCAGGACTCCCAAGGGGATGGCTGGGCTCCATGCTGGGGCCCAGAGGCCAGGGAGGCTGGGGAGCCCCCATCAGACCCCCAGAAGGAGAGAGTGAGCAGGGCTGTGCTTGGTAGGAGCCAGAGGGAGGGGGCTCCAGCCCCGGGGCTTTCTTCTCAGCCCCCTCAACAGTTACGAAATCCCTCTCTCTCTCCTGTCACCAGGGGTCCCTGGCTGCCATCCACCTACACTCTCTGGGGCTCAGTCCATCTACGGGAAAGGGCTCCCTGCAGGAAACCCTGCAAGCCGAACCCGCCGCCCCCAAGACAGCCGCACTGTCAGAACGCACCTTCCTGCCTCCCCACAGCCGCCCCCCACAGGCCCGCGCCGCGATGCAAGCTCGCTCGGGCAACTCCGCTCCCGGGAAGGGCACCCCCGCGCTCAGATCGCCCCCCCTGCGCTAAGCCGCGCCGAGCGCCCAGCGCCGTGCCTGGAGGG